GCTAGTTTATTACAATTTGACGTTAATGATATTAAGTTTCATGACATGCAGCCGCGGAGAGGCCTCGTAGCCGAGCGGTTAGAGCGTGGAGCTACGGAGTGGAAGGTTGGCGGTTCGAATCCCATTCGGAACAAAAACTGGACAACTCTTTCTGACGACCCAACAGTAAAATTGGTACCTGATTCGTTCAGGGAAGGTAAAACGGCGAGAGGAGAGGACTGGGCACCGCCACTCATATGCCGCGCCCTAGACACAGTGGACTTCTAACATCCCACTGCCCCTACGGCCAGTAATGGCTATGGGGCCTTTACCTTTACCTTTACATGTAGTGCGACATTCACGACAACAGAACGATGAAGAGAAAGTCAAGATGGTGCAAGATACCATATCAGATTTAGGCATGATCACGTACTAGTAATCACCGACATTTGTTGATGAGAGTGATTGCAGAGCATGGTTGCATGAGAACATTTCCAACGCCTGTAGACACGGACGAGTGGCTCCGTATTGTCTCAGCTCATAATCACTTTCGCTCAAGAGAGTCATGATGTTGGCCAGTGAACCAAGAATGTGGATTCAGCTGCACGCAGACCGAGACTTTAATTATAGCCTTCCTTGTGTTCCCTCAAAAATAAGACATTTGCGCCTTTTGAGGCTTTTCAGAATGATTTCGAATGGCAATGTTGGAATCGTTCAGTGGGTCAGCTGCTTTAAAATAAGACATGCGAGATTTTGCGAGAATACGGGGCTTCCGACAAACTGTATTAACTAACGTATCGCCGTTTGCGAGTTAGCCACGCCCCTTCGACAAACATATGGCATTTTTACGTTAAGTTTTGTTTGTCTTAAGCCCGTTTCATGCTTCACGCGAAAGCATGTGCGAAGCGTAATTCATGTCGTCAACAATGGTGGACGCGCATCAAATGTATTGTTGACGTCACGAATTTCGCTTCGCTTTCGCGTGAAGTATGAACCGGGCTTTAGATTTTGCATGTTCCGCGTCCATTTGTATATCATGTAACTATTGGACAATATGTCACAAGCTGCGTTGACGCGATTCTTATCTCGCAAGTTTTCTATATTTCTGACACAGTTTGTTCTTGGGCGGTCGATATAAAATACGAATTGGTTCATGGTGAATAAACAAGAAGCAATTTGATCTATACGAGGTTTAAAAAATATTGTAAAGTTATGAGAAAAATAATTACTTCAATTTTAGATTAATTGGTTAAGTACACTTGGTAAAACTTGCAGACGCGTCCATGGTAATAAGACGTTCACATAAGAAGCGAAAATTGTGTTGTGAGGCTTCCAATTTCCGTTTCAATGGTATAGGCCTAAACAGTTAAAAACTATATCGTGCCACATGTCCTTTTCCTGGGTCAGTTAGATCTGTAACGTCTTGCTCGATACCACAGCAGTGCGATGCCTTCCCACGATTACAGCAGCCAAAACGAAAGATGGATTGGCGATTAGGCATTACGAGACAATGCAAAAACTCAGACTCGGAAGAAGGAGAACAAAAATATGTCCTGGGGTGAAAATCTATGCAGAGGAATTTACCGACGGTTGGCTCGTTCCTGCCTCCCCGACGCGAGCTAGCGGAGGGTGCAAGGAGCTGTCCGTGTGGAATAATACACTAGAGGATCAAAAGGCGGTTGAGCTAGACAAGTGTGTTTTAATTTCAGATACAAACTGGCCGCTTTAATCTCTTGAGGGAGATTACGAGTAAAGGAGCAGTAATTGAGGCCCGCGTACTCGGGCTGAGAAGGGCAGGGAGGGCACATGGGCTCTCGTAGCATCATTCGTTCTTGATTCAAGCAATTTCTTTTTTTCTTTTTTTTGGAGAGGGGATGAGTGAAAGATCTGGAATTAGGTAAAAGGTAAACGGGAAAGGTTGGCGGGTAGAGAGGGGCAGACAGAGAAAGAAACACATTAAGAGATGTTTAACTCTGAGGGTAAGTTGCATGTGTGCCTTTAGAATCACTCGTGTCTCGTGAACACATCTTGCAACTTGAATCGAAGTTATCTTTTCTTAAGGCTTCCTAACGTCCCATGCTCATTTCATCGTAAAACCAATCTTTAAGATCTTAATAATTTATCCGTAACAGTTCTTTGCTCCCATGTAAAGTTATTATTATTATTATTAATCATTTCTGATAATGAAACCAAGGATTCCTCAAAAGCGCCCTAGGCACTGTAGCTCGCAAGCCTGAAGAAACCTAGTGGAGAGAAGACAATGAGAAGAACTTAAAGCTTTAGAGGTGGGAGGAAAACCCCAAAAGAATATTCGGAGGAAAACCCACGGAATCAGGCAGGGAATGAAAACCCAATCCACATTTTGGCCCAGGCGGGGTTCGAACCTGGGTCACATCGGTGGAAGGCGAGGAAAGAACCAATACGCCAACCTGATATTGAACGCACTTTCAAGACGAATCGGCAAGCAGAGTTGCAGTTAAGTCTGAGACAAATGAATTACAAATCAAATCAAAACTCCTCCACGCGTCAAATTGGAATTAAGGTTGCTTGGGAATTGAGACTTGCTGACGTGTGAGAGGCTTGTAATTGACTTGTGATGACTTGAGGAGACTCTTGAGGATTTTGCTGTATATACAACTCCGTATAGGTCTTAAATTAAAACAGATACCTAAAGCACAATCAAAGGATAGTGCTTCAACATTCGTCACTGAGTATCGATGTAGATAAAAACTTAGTGTTTTCCTAATAACTTGTTATAGGCAGATCATTTGCTTTACATGCATGTTCGTTTCCAAGAGCGCCACTGAAAATGCAAAGAAGCATGTTCAAAACCTAAACTTTTCGAGGACACAGTGCAATCGCCTACATTTCTTGATTTCCTCTTTATGACAGCAAGCCATGGGGAACAATTTCACGGGGTGTTTAGTACCAGTACGATATTTACTCCAAGTAAGCTTTGTGATGATAATAATTCGGTAGGTTCTTTTGGGATAAAAGCGAATTATTACAATATGCCTTTAAGTTTTAGATTTCACAACCACAATTATTGTGAAAACGCACCACTGACAGTAAACTTAGACAGAGGCATCTATGAATTTCATGATTGAGGGTCATTCTCCCATCTACATCGGCTGTACTCAAGCGTGGGTAACAGATTGAATGTCTCCTTGTAGATAATGCCACAGCGGAGGTCTAAACAGGAAACCATCTCCCTTCTTTCTGCTCGAACATCCACGCATATTGGGCAGAATCGAAGGAGTTGAATAATTAATTGATCAAACACCTGCGGCTAGGCGCGCAACCTTTAAACACGTACCTAATAACAGAAGTGCAAAACCGCGACTTCAGATTTATCTTGTATCCGGCAGCAGAAGTTTTAAAGTAGAAAGCCAATATGCGGAAGAGGACAACATGGATGCTACTTATTACTAAAAGGTCGATGTGAACTGAGACACACATCGATCATTTAAATTCCGATGAATTGTTAATTTCATAAACACTGTATCCTCAGAGTAGCCCGAGGGCATGCGAGAGAAAAAAAAATACTCGAACTCGAACCCACGGCCTCTTGCTAAAAGCGCAAACGTCTTACCAATTGATCACCGAGCTTGGGGCTGGTTCGAATCTGATAGAGGGCGTGGTACCGCATCCAACGTTGATGAAGGGCAAGACACTATTTTAAATTTACATCCCCGACGTTAAATTATGTCGTATAAATAGTGACAGGTTGCACGGAGCTTGAGAATTATATTGTATCTGACATGCAGCGGAACTTGAAGAAGGAAGCCAGCACACTAGAGGGGAACATTTGTGTTACTTGTTTTCATAGGGTGTTAACTTTGACGCATAATCACATTGAATCAATTATTCTGATGAATTTGTAGTATATAAAACTGAGTTCGACTATTATGTTCTTAAATATTGTGGTGAGTCCGGGGGAGGAGCTGATGGTGGGGGTGGTGGTGGTTGGGGTGGGGTGGGGGGGGGGGGCTAAAACCTCCCCTCTCTACTTAAGCCGCATTGGTTCCCCACCACCTCCCCTTCAACAACCACTTATGCCCCCTCTAACAGCGACACCATATTCAGATCTGGCTCTTTGTTAACTTTCTAGCCACGCCCAGTGGCGTATCCAGAGGGGGACAGGGGGCACCTTGCCCTCACCCCCGCCGATAGTTTTGGAAAACTATTTGTTTAGTAAGTATTTACATAAATGGTTAGAGAGTTTTGACAAGAACCCCAAAAAAGAAAACCAGCTCAAAAACCATTGCAATGCGCCGTGAAAATTGGCATATATTTTCCAGTGTGTATAATGGTCAGTTTTGAAGAGCGCCCCCATTTGGAAGATGGGTACCAGCCCCCCCCCCCCCCCCCGATTTATTTCGGCGCGGATGTGCGGTTGCCCCCCTGACATCAAAAGCTGGATACGCTACTGGCCAATCCCCCCCCCCAAAAAAAAAATAATCCCAATCTGATTTTTCGAACCAGCCGTGAATACCATGTCAATCCCATCACTTAGGCCTACCACATCAATGATCTGTGAGATGAATAATACCATGTGGACCTCCAGCGGGACGGGGTGATTCTGCCATTCTGGACAGGGATCACTTATGAATTTGGAAAGTTAACAAACCATAATCCAACCCTTCCCCTTTGGCACCTGAGCTTAATCCCATGTTCATCCCATCACTTACCACATCGATGATCTGGGAGATGAATAATACCATGTGGACCTTCAGCGGCACGGAGTGATTCTGCCATTCTGGACAGGGATCACTTATGAATTTGGAAAGTTAAAAAACCATAATCCAACCCTTCCCCTTTAGCACCTGAGCTTAATCCCATGTTCATCCCATCACTTACCACATCGATGATCTGGGAGATGGATAATCCCATGTAGACCTCGAACGGGACGGAGTGATTCTGGACAGGGATCACTTATGAATTTGGAAAGTTAACAAACCATAATCCAACCCTTCCCCTTTGGCACCTGAGCTTAATCCCATGTTCATCCCAACACTTACCACATCGATGATCTGGGAGATGGATAATCCCATGTAGACCTTGAGAGGGACGGAGTCGTTCTTGACCGGCCGCACCGAGAAATTGTAGTTGAGGGTCAGATCAGTCAGCAGCTTGCTCTCCTCTAGTGATCCATCACACGCTGCAGGGGTGAGATACGGGAAACCATACGGGCATAAGTCAACATTGAAATTTAGACAGAAAAAAACCAGCATTGAGGTACATGTACTTGCAATGTCAATTTTAATTTGAACACAAGATAAAATGGTAGTTATTCTTTGCATATACATTCATTTTGACTTGTCACTTGCGTAGTTATCTTTATAAAGCAAGAGGAGGCACAAATTTGGCGAATTCAGATTTAATGTTTAAACAAAAAGTCATCCTGCTCACAATGACCATTCATGATTTGTTCACAAGATAATAGGATATTATCTTGGTGCCTCCCAATAACGACAAATTTTGATTTTCCCATAAGACACAATAATGATGAAACCACACACCGTCATGATTTTGCGACACTATTTGGCCTGTAAAAAAAAAAGAGTTTCCAGTGGTGTGAAAAAGTAAATTATATTTCCAATTAATGGATATTGGGGCATATTTTGGTATGATAAATATGATATTTTTTCTTTGCGAAAAGGGAATTTAGTAGCCTTGCCTCATTGATGGCATTGGAATGTGCTATAGCTGTGTGCAAATTTACAGATAATTATTATTATTTGAGAGTAATTTTGAAATAACAATGTTTCTGACGCCAACAGTCCCCTAGTTTTTTTTGGCGTAGACGCACTGACAAGTCATGCGACATGCAAGGCACGTATTTGCGCCGATGTACTGGGAACACGAAATCCATCATTATTTTGTTACATCATCTGCGCGCAGGTGATAACTCGAGGGAAGTATTGGAGATTATCGGTGAGCACCTGCGAGTGCGACGATTGAGAAATAACAACACACATTAGAAGCGAAATTCTGAAACGATACAACCTCCGGCTCTCTCAGGCACTCGGGCCGTGCCAGACTGGCATCGCCTGATTGAGCATGGGGATAGATTGCAGCACTTCAATTAAAAACGACGACAATTAACGCCGTTGGAATCAAATCCTGGCGCGAGATTCATGGGGATTATTTAGCGAGAGAGTCACCAGCGGTCATTGGCGCGCGATTTGGAAGGTTTCGCACACGGTATTTCGTCTAAACAATAAGCCTTCGTTAATTGAAGGGGATTTTCACTCAAAATGAGCTTACATTCGTCAATACAATGCATAGACACACTAATCTTAGTAAAATGTCTATTCTATCTTTGCTATTTTTTTTTCAACTGAAAAATGTTTTTAAAAGTAAGCGCCTCATTTTACTGGGAAATCCCTTTTACAACGTTTTCATTGTATTGAAATAGTCAAACGGAGAAAATGTTGAATGTTAAAGCTGTTTCCAGCTTTAAAATGTATAGGTGTTTATCAAAATGTAGATTTTCTTATGAATAAAGGCATGTAGGCTATACTTCTGACTTCGCTTTAAAAAAAAACTATTGTACGTCCTATGAGAATAAAAATTTGCGATGCGAAGACGTTGAAGCTAAGCCTCAGTAATAGCTTGACCAAAACTCCACTGAACATTAAAAATCAGCCGCATCATCACATCAATCATTGACCCCATCTGCAAGACGTACGCCAACAATATAATGTGATTATCGCAGGTGAACGAACTAAAACTCTTTTGAGTTGGATGGAGCGATTGCCTTTGATCTTGGCATGGCTTTTATCGTCAACATAAACCCCATCTATTACGAGTCACAACAATTATTGATGAATCAAGCAGAGAAATCATGGAATTAGCATCCCTCGCGATCAGACAAAAACCCAGCCCGAATTTAGCTGCATTAAGGGCTGACAATTCTTTGGAGTGACGGTGAAGACGTTGGATTGTTTGTGATGCGGAAATATATGGGAGGCAATAAGCTTCACAGAGAGACTGCATTAGACGATACCGTCATGAAGATTAATGTGTTTAGTTAACACTGAGGCGGCAAGTCATTGACTCCTGGAAGTTCTTGTACAGTGAAGCTAATTTTCTTCTAAAATTCTAAAACGGATTCGAAGAGGAGATCTCAGAAATACATTTGTATAACAGGAGGGGACCTAGCCCTCTGTTGTGTTGACCGTTGTGTTCCTAGAGTCTCGGGAATTCTTTTGAGATATCTTTAGGCAACAATAGTCTAGCGTGTATATTGGAGTGTGTATTCAAGGTATAGTTGTAATGGTATCAATCATACGTACACTCTAATAAACCCCAGGTCAGATTTGACCCGCAATCTGGGTTCTATTTGGCCTGATACTTTAGCGAGTCTAAATGACAACTTTACGGGTAAAAAGGACACCTTTTTCGTGTCAAAATAACACTTTTTCGTGTCACAATTACCTGGAAAATGAGTCCCAGAACCGTCGTCTTGACCCGAAAAAGTGTATTTTTGTCCCGGAAATGTATCTTTTGACCCGGAAAGTGCCATTTTGAACCGGACAAGTGTAGTTTTGATCCGGAAAGTGTCAGTCCAAATTAATAGAACCCAGATTCAGGGTCAAATCGGACCTGGGAGTTTCTAGAGTGTATAGTTGGCTACATGACAACTGACCGATTGCAACGGAGTTCCTTTTTCCCCCGTTCGAGACCTTATACTCGTGTTTAAACATTATCAATGCAAATATTCCCAATGAACTTTCGTTCGAAATACCAAACCAAATTCAATTTCGACTTGGGCGAGCTGGAGTTCTTCGCACTTTAGTACAAAAGTACTCCTGCCATTCCGCGCCGGTATAATGCAATGGAAATCATTCACTCAGTGGTGTTTAGTCAGTTCGTCGCGGGTATGCGGTTTTGTGCGACTGGTTAAGTTCCGTCTGTGTGAAGCTAATGCGGCATCGCCCGTGTTAGGTCAAGCCGTTAATGACGTTATTTGAACGTGAAGAAAATGAAGGGGCGCCTCTGCCTCACTCACGAAAACACCCTATTATTGCATTACGATGGCCCGTAAAAGACACCCGTCTGGTGCGGAAGAGCCCCTAGGGGTATCGGTGTGACGTCAGTATTAGCTTAGTTCACCTTGGATTGTTAATTACCACCTGGCAATGACAAACACCCCCTTAGCAGGCCAAGTTCGATCACAGCATGATGGTGTGACCAGATACTTATACCAATTGAGTATGAAAGACTTGTTTGTCTGGTTGGCTCTTCCTATTCATTACAAGGGCTTCATTTATTGATCTTCCCCGTTCTCTTGGTATGCCAATTCTACGGACGTCCACTAATCTTTGCTGTCTTCATTGTCTTCTGTCGGGTGGGCTTTTTACTGGCACGGTGTCTTAGTCTCAGCCACTTATGTCTATTGTTTCTATTGTTTGTTTGTCCCCTATTTAGTAGTCTCTCATAGTGTTTGGTCTAGTTTAGGTAGACCTTCCGAGTAAAACCAAAAACTACTTTGTTTTCTGAATCTTGACAAGTGAGGTCAAAACGAAGGTAACCCCAAGGTGTGCAAACAATGAAACTCAAACCTTTTCTGGTGACATATGTTTTCTTTGGTTGAGGATTGGCCACATCGTTTTTTAAAACTGACATTGTTGTTTTGCTATATATTTGATTTATCACGAAACTCGTAAGGTTTAATATTTTTTTTTCCTTTTTTTATTTTTTATTTTTTTTTAAAGATGTGTATGTTGCAATTAAAGGGCACTCCATCATGAATTGTGCTCGTTTACCGTGCAAAAGGTGTTTTATAATATGATATTATAAAATATAATATTATATAGATTATAGATTATGAAATATGATATTATTTACCCCCAAAAAAGTGCAATACCATCAGCCTAAAAAATATTCACACGTAAAACAAATACGATTCCAATTGTAAATAACTTTTGTGAAACAAGACACGCGACTAGGGGCAACTACGGCACTCGGAGAATGACACACTGTACTGTGCTCCAATAAAAATAACGACCTACATTCAGTGAAGGAAATTGAGGCGAAGTCTCTTGAAAACTAATAACAATTTCACGTCAGTTGCCCAAGGGGCGCGTGCCATTTTGCAATTTTTTTCCCGTCTGATAAATTTCGTTATTTAATTAATAACGTCCTTGAACCGCGCTTGGCATGGTTTCGGCGAAATAATTCCAGCGGAGTGTATGACGTGTATTATATCGCTTGGTTATTTTGTCCCGATTGCCGACTTCAATTTCATTAGAGTTCGCGTAATTTACGTTTGTGGATGCTCTCCTCCAGTAATGAGGTCACGGGGTCAATTTTACACAAAGGTGCCCCGGAGGCTGATAGGATCGGCCAGCTGGTATTCTGGGTCGTTTGGTCAGTTAGAAGAAGCCGCCTCATGACAGTTTGTCGCCATTTGACCTTGTGGCGGAGATAAACACGGCTTTTGCTATCTCTTAAAATAAAGGCAATAGATACAAAGTTTGTTTTTATTGCTTTTCCCAGAGAGGGCCAACCTATGAAATTCTACTTTGTACCGTGGCATACAGTTTCGGCGAAATAATTTCAACGGAGTATATGACATGTTTTATCGTTTGTATTTTGCCTGTTTGCCGACTTCAATATATAGAGTTCGCGTAATTTGCCTTTTCTCAGAGAGAGCCAGCCTATAATATTCTTATTTGTACTTGACTGACTGACGGACTGACTGACCGACCAACAGACCGACCGACCGACCGACCGACCAACAGACAGACCGACCGACCGACTGACTGACTGAATTGTGAATAAGCCTGGGTGTTGGCTGTCGAAGAGAGCCCGGCAGTACTATCGTATGTGGTGACCTGGTAATGGTAAAAAATCTAGCCCGTTGAGTATAATTATAAGGTGCATGAAATACTTCCACTGAATAGCCATTTGGAATCGATTGAATAGAATTGTTTGTGTAGTTTGGGACCATCTTTAACTTTCTCAGTTGTCTTGTCTTGTCGATATCGAGGTTGGGGAAAATCACTTAAGCAAAGGATCATTTCAGAGCCGAGAAATCTACTTTTGTCGCTATCGAGACCATGTCATTATATTTGTCTGTAATGGCGGATGAGGACTCAACCCAAAGCACAATCCGAGAGATGGATTTTCTTCTTGACAAAATAAATATAT